CAACAACAACAACAACAACAACAATAATAATAATAATAATAATAATAATAATAATAATAATAATAATAATAATAATAATAATAATAATAATAATAATAATATTTATCAAACTTACAAATAATGTACTAATAACATAATAATCACAATTACAACAACAACAATCATAAACACAACAACAAAAATCATAATCACAAAAATCATGCTAATAATAATAATAATAATAATAATAATAATAATAATAATAATAATAATAATAATAATAATAATAATAATAACAACAACAACAACAACAACAACAACAAAACAACAACAACAACAACAACAACAACAACAACAATAATAATAATAATAATAATAATAAGGAAAAATTGCTCCCATTAATCTGAACTTTGCCTCATCCGCCGAAATTAATCCCAACTTCAGTTTATTATCTATCACTCCCAACTTTGGGGGGTATTAATTTTCGTTGCACCCAACAGGTCATCTAACCTGATGTAGTAGGTTACCTAGACACATGTCAACACGTGATAGGTCCAAAAAAAAACAAAAAAAAAATTAAAAAAAAGGAAAAATACCCAGCCCCCCACCCCTATCCCGGAATACACCACACCCCCACCCCCTACCCCGCCGGAAAAACCGCCCCTTCCCCGAAAACCCCTCCCCTGCTACCGGAAACCGCCGCCCTGCCACCCCTTCCCTTCCCCCACCCCCGATAACCCCTCCCCAGCCCCGATAACACCCCTCCCCATCCCTAATAACCCCTCCCCAGCCCCCGATAACCCCTCCCTAGCCCCAATAACACCCCTCCCCAGCCCCGATAACCCTTCCCCCGATAACCCTTCCCCAGCCCCCTAATACCCCTCCCCAGCCCCGAAAACCCATCCCCAGCCCCGATAACCCTTCCCCAACCACTGATAACCCCTCCCCACCCTCGAAATCGGCGAACCCAGCCACGAAATCGGCGACGCCTATGCACGAAATCGGCCACAAACGGCCGAAATCGGCCGGTTTAGGGTATTCAGCCCCAACATCGGCCATTTGTGGCCAATATCGGCCATTTTTGGCCAACGGTGGTGGTGGTTTGATGTGCGGCGGCGGTGTTCGTGTGGTGGTGGGTGCTGCTGGGTTGTTCTAATTTTTTTTTTTATTTTTTTTTACATTTTTCTTTATTTTTTTTAATTTTCTTTACTTTAATTTTTTTTTTAATTTTCTTTATTTTCTCAACCAATTACATATTGACACGTGTGCAAAAAAAAATCACAAAGGTTTACTTGCTTTACCGGTTGCAAGTCATTAGGGTGCAACGAAAATTAATACCCCCCAAAGTTGGGAGTGATAGATAATAAAATGAAGTTGGGATTAATTTCGGCGGATGAGGCAAAGTTCAGATTAATGGGAGCAATTTTTCCTAATAATAAAATAAAAAATAATAATAAAAAATCATAAAAAGAAGAATAATAATAAAAATCATAAAAATAAAATAATCACTACAACAAAAATTATAATCACAAAAATCATGCTAACAGTAACATACTACTTATAATAATAGTAATAATAAAAATAATATAATCACAATAACAACAACAACAATCATAATAACATCAACAAAAATAATAATTACAATAATCATGTTAATAATAACATACTAATAATAATAATAATAATAATAATAATAATAATAATAATAATAATAATAATAATAATATTTATTTACAAAAAAAAATTGAAATTGGGACTTCCGCCCAAAATTTCCGGAAGGCCCTTGGAGGATCCGCCTCCAAGGTTTTTCCGGAAATTTCAAGCGGATCTGACTTCCGCCCTGAATTTCCGGATAAACCAAGGAGGATCCGGAAATTCCAGGCGGATCCTCTAAGGGTCTTCCGGAATTTTCGGGCGGAAGTCCTAATTCCGATTTTTATTTTTTTTTTCAAAAATTTTTAGTTCAGTACAAGCCCTCTGGGCCAAAGAAGCAACAAAATCAAAGCCCGAAGGCAAAACAAAGACAACAACTACGGAACCTCTAACTAACAAAGGGAGAGGAAACCGAAGCTACAACCAAAAGTGGGTAAAGAAAAAACCTAAACAACCAAAGATAACAAATAAGGTGAGTATAAAAAAGCACCAGCTTAGCTTGAAAGCATACACCATCCGCCAGCATCATCATAAAAAGCAGCTTGATAACAATCCCACAGTCAGTCTGCCAGGACAGAACAACAACATGCATGCAGTACAAACCAGGACAAAAGATCACAGCTATGAACCATCATCCAGCAACACAAACATAAGGAGGCCCAAGCAAGGCAGAGAAGCATAAGATGCCACGACAAAGGTAGAGCAACAATTACCACAACAGAACAGGCATAAGAAGGAGTCCTGGTAGAAGCAACAAACAAGGTAGTAATAGGAATACCACCCACCATACAATCCAGGACATCAACTAGCACCTCATGCTAGGAGACAACACTAAAAAAGGGCCTCAACCCACTACAGACCAAGCATGCTAGAATAACAAAGACACACCCATGACAACCAACCTCCACCACGACAAACAATAACAAAGCATACACCATCCACCAACATCACCATTAAAACATCTTGAAACCAGCCTCGAAGTCAGCCTGCCAGGACAGAACTATATCATACATGCAGTACAAACCAGAACAAAGGATCGTAGCCATAAACTATCAGCTAGCAACACAAACCCAAGGAGGCTCAAGAAAGACAGAGTAGCATAAGATGCATAGATAGAGGTAGAACAACAACCACCACAACAGAAGAGGCATAAAAAGGAGCCCGGACAAAAGCAAGAGACAAGGTAGAAAGAGGGATAAAACCCACCATACAATCCAAGCCAACAACTAGCACCTCATGCTAGGAGACAACACTAAAAATGGGGCCTCAACCCAACAAATACCAGGCAAGCTAAAATGACCAAGACTCAACCATGACAACCAACCTCCACTAAATAAAACAAAGGAAAAATGTCTTCCACCAGCATCACCATAAAATCCGCTTGATAACAACCCCGTAGACAGCCTGCCAGGACAGAACAATAGCATACATGCAGTACAAACCAAGCCACAGGATCGCAGCCATGAACCATCAACCATCAATACAACCACAAGGAGGCTCAAGCAAAGCAGGGAAGCATAGGATGCCAAGACAGAAAAAGATCAACAACTACCATAAAGGAAGAGGCATGAAAAGGAGTCCAGGTAGAAGCAAGCAATAAGGTAGTAATAGGAAACCACCCACAATACAACCCAGGCCATCAGCTAGCACCTCATGCTAGGATAGCAGAAAAAATAGGGCCTCATCCCACTACACACTAAGCAGGCTAACAAACCCAAAACTCAACTATTACAGCCAATCCCCCCAAAAAAACCATCCACCATCAATAGGCATAATCATAATATCACAACTAAATAACAACCCAGAAACCAGTTTGCTAGGACAACGGCATGGCAAGCATACAATACAAAACAGGACAAAGGATCACTACCATAAATCATCAACCAACAACACTGATCACTAGGAAGCCTAAGCTGAAAAAGTATTGCAAAACGCCTAGATAGTAGTTACAACCAAAGAAGCAATTCCCAAATTACATAAAGATAATAAAAGGAAAGCAGAAAACAAAATCAGCCTTCCTTTTACAGATGAAGAACAACAGGGAATACCCAACCTCTACAAATCTGCAATTCAAGGAAGCTGCCACCAACCCTCGAGTTCAACCACCAAAAAGAACCCGGCAAAATCCCCTGAGAAAGACGAACCCCAGGATACAAAGCAACCCCTAACACCAACACGCCAGCTAGGGAGGAAACCCATCCACCCGCAAACAAGACCAGAACACAGCAACAACCTTTAGCAAAACCCAGAAAATCGAGGGCTTAATCGCAGCCCCAAAAGCCTGAAATCAGCCCAACAAACACCAATTCAGCGATTTCCGCCTGCTGGGAAAAAGACCCGACCCGAAACACCGCCCAACAGCCGATTGAGAACAGAGCACAGCCCCGACAAAAGAACGCCAATCAAGGGTTGAAGACAACCGTCGAACCTACACTCGACAACCACTTTGAAGCGCACCCCAAACCCACACCAGCAGGGGTGAAAATCGACAGTCGAAACTCGCCGACCACCTTGAAACGCACCCCACATCCAAAGAACTAGACCCGCCACCGGCAAACCAGTTCAGAAAACACCATCAACCTTGAGAGAAAAAACCCAGAAAATCGCGGGTTTGAATAGAAAAATCGAACCCCCAAAATACCGGAATCAACCCAACAATTGATAAACAAAACTTCAGCAATTTCCGACTGCTGGGAAATCGATTAACCCCGAAACACCTTCCAGCAGCCGAATCTTCCAATATCGCCGCCGGAACAACGAACTCTGACCCTTCTTCAGCCTTGAGTGAGGAACCCAAAAGGTCGAAGAAAAATCCGAGAATTTCCAAAAAGCCCTTAGGGATTGTTTATTTTTAAGAAATTGAAGAACAAAGAAACCTACTTCTACAATCTAACCTTTTGGAGAACGAATCCGATGAAGGCAACCACCGAATCATTCTCCATTGGGTTAGAGAGAAGCAAGAGTTTCTCTCTCTAGAAACAAAACCCTGTTTTTATGTAATTTCCCTTTGCCTTGTTTTTCAAGTGGTGGTTGTAAGGTGGTTGTTGGTGATGGTTGTTGTTGTTGTTTTTTTTTTTAATTTAATTTAATTTAATTATTTATTTATTTATTTTATGAGATTTAAATTTCAGATTTAAAAAAAAATTCAGATTTCAAAATTCTAGAGAGATAAAATGAGAGTGAATGAGGTTAGAGAGTGAAATGTGTAACTCGTGAGTACAAAATTCGTAATTATATGTTAGGGGTAAAAAGGAAATTCTTTATAAAAATGGGAGCGTTAGTATGTAATTTGCAAGCGACGTTTAACAATCCCCATTATAGATTTATAGGTATCAATACCCCTTTTTTATCCTCCCTCCTTATCCCTGTTATTCCTATTCCTCCCACCAAACAGCCCGTTATTTGGTTAAAGGACTCGTGAAAGGTTCAATTCACTATTCTGCTTCTGCACCCCAACCTAAACCCTCCATTGGAGACTATAGTCGCACAAGAATCAACCAGACGACACCCAAGCTACTACCCGACTATGCAAATCGCCGCTTTAGCTCGCCGAGCTTCTCGGATTTTCTCACTTCATCCCTTCATTTCTCAAGATGCTTCTCTGAATTCCTCCTCTCATTGCAGAAATTTTCGCACCTTATCTCTTCAAAATGGTACTTTTATGCTGTTCTTAATATGGGATTTTTAAATTGTTGATTTCTGATATGGGGTTGATGATATTTTGTGTAGAAATTGGTTATTCCAATGGTTGTGGCTTGCAGTACCAGTGGCCTCATACCGCGTCTTTCTGCTCAGTACCGGCTGCTGTTGACGGTATTCTCATTGATTTTCATTCAGGATTAGCTTTTTTGAATTTGGGTTTTGTTTTTCTTGACATTTTTAATAAAATGTTGGATTAATTATATTGTATAAGTACTTTGTGTAATCATGGTTTTTCGGGTTTGAATTGCGTTTGTTATGTGGTGAATTGGTGATTTGTGATTTTATAGATAAGTTATAGGGGCTCATTCAGGATTAGCTTTTTTGAATTTGGGTTTTGTTTGTCTTGTCATTTTCAATAAAATGTTTAATTAATTGTATTGTATGAGTACTGATTAGGGGATTTTGCTCCCACCAATCGGAATGCGCCACGTGGGCCAATCAGGTCCTGCCAAGTGTCCCCCAGTTGGACCTCTTAGGGCTTGCCACGTGGCACACGCTTATTCGTCCACCCTGGACTTATTATGTCATGACACGTGACATACTCCATGCCTAATGGAGAAGCCGGTCACCTAGGCCCAACTTCCGAGGGAAACCCAATCAGCCCAAGGTTAACCTAAACCTAGATTGGCACGTTTCTTGAGGTTATAAATACCTCCCTTAATCCTCATTAAGGGAGATTACGCAGATTACGCAGAGAACGCAGATTACACACATTAAACACTCTCACCTAGAGAGACCCAATCACTTTAATTTCCGCATTAATTACTCCTTAATCAAGTACTAACTTGACCGTCGGAGGCGGATCTCCAATCATCCGGAGCATCCGTTTGTTTTGCAGGTACAGGCGTCCGGTTCCAGTCTCGGAATTGTAACTCTCCCGCAGGACATCAGAAAACCCTGAAACATTTTGGCGCCGTCTGTGGGGAGAGTACTTCTGAGATGGCATCCACGTCTGTACCGACTCCCGAAGAGAGGCGTCCCCTAGACGACCCTCAAGTTCAGTCGGACCACGATACTGAGAATGAATTTGAAGTTGAAGCTCACACAGCTTCAGACGGGACCCTAAGGGCCCGACATACTCGTCATACCGAAAGGAGGGAGCGGGAACATCTTCAAACTGGAAGCGAGCCAGCAGGCGCTCTACCTGTTCGGCAGCAGCCGACTGATGGGTCTGCTCCCATCACAAGGAAAGAACTCATGACCTTCATGAGGGACTTCAAGGGAGAAATTCAAGAGTTGATCAACAAGAAGCCGCCTGCTCTGGACAAGGAGCAATCGGCTAAGAAACCCTCCAGTTCACAGAAGAGGAAGCCAGTTCAAGGGCGAGAGGCGACCCTTCATCCTAAATCTAGGAAGTGGAAGCCACCTGCCCTCGATTTCACAAAATACCGTTTTCCTACTCCAGGAAATATTAAACCTGTTCGTCATATTCAGGCGGACGGGTCGAGGAAAACATACACAGACGCTCGGCTACTGCTAGAGCAGAAGAAGAGTGACCGATTGTCAGAGTCGGCCTCTATTTCAAACTTCTAAGACAGTCTGCGAAATACCTCGATGAGGCATACTCAGTCGTATCATGAGGGTCAGTCAGGCGGCACCTCCCGTCAGTCCGACTTTCATAGCGACCAGGCGGTACCAAACTTACCGTTTGTACCGCAACAACAATATTTTTTACAGCCACCTCCGTTTGGGGGACATGCAGCAAAAAATGTCCAACCTATGGACTGGCAGCTACGGTTGCTTAGACTTAGTGAACAGCCGTCGGCCTTCTCCAAGGAAATTACTGAAGCCGCTCAGCCGGCCAAAGTGAAAAATGTATTAGTAGGCGCCTATGACGGCACTACTAACCCAGAAGACCATCTGATGGCATTCACCAACCTGAAGGATGATCCCACGTGCAAGTGTTTCCCAGCGACTCTCAAAGGAATCGCACAACAATGGTTCGACAACCTGCCGACTGGTTGTGTAAATAACTTCAAGACGCTTGCTTACTTATTCACCTCCAACTTCGCCATGAACATCCCTGCGAAGAAGACGACCCTTGATTTAGGAACAATTCAGCAGGGCGAGAAGGAGGGGCTTTGTTCTTACATCAGGCGATTTAACCTGATGAGAATACAGATTCAAGGGTTACCGGATGAAGTAGCCTATACTGACTTTTTCAGAGGTCTCAAAGACGGGTCGACCTTCAAATTTGATTTGGTCCGAAAGAGGGTGGCGACTCTTCAAGAGGCCTTGATTGAAGCGGAAGCCTATATACAGGCGACTGATCTTTGTAGTACGGTAAAACAGTCAGACGGGAAAAGGTCCGACAAAAGAGAAGGACGACAGAAGCAGTCGTCAAACAAAGACGAGAAGAGAAAAGAGGTCTGGCAACTGATTTCTCTAAACAGCCGTCCCCGAAGAAGAAAAAAGAATTCAAACCATACTCCCCAAAGTATGTGTTTAACAAGGATAGCCAATTTATCCTAAAGGAAATCAAGGGACGGATCTCAATTGAGAAGCCGGTCCCCATGAAGGGTTCTGCAAACAATCAGAACCAAGAAAAATTCTGTGATTATCATGAAGATGTTGGTCATCACACTAATGAATGCATCACTCTCATGCGGTATCTGGACCGCCTGGCTGAGCAAGGTGACCTTGACACTTATGTCAAGAAATCTACGAGGAACACTTCCTCGAAAAAGCAGTCGACCAAAGAGAATCAACAGGCCGACAACTCCGATACAGATGATGCAGTCGTCTACACCATTGCAGGCGGCTTCTCAGGGGGCGGCCCCACTATTAGGGGCAATAAAGACAATATCAGACGGTTAGATGTAAATTCCGTTCACCAAGAACGACCCTCCAAATATTCATTTCCTAAGATTCTCATCACTGAAGAAGATCTAGGAGGGGTAAGAGGGCCGCATGACGACCCTATCGTTATTGAATGTAAAGTGGCCAACTAGAGAGTTGGCTGAATCCTCATAGATACCGGAAGCTCCTCAGATCTCATCAGTAGCAAATGTCTGTCGAAACTAAAATATCAGACTGATTGCATACATCCGGCATCCCACCCTTTAGTAGGGTTTTGAGGAGGAGGAGTCGTCCACCTAGTGGGACGAGTGGATTTATCCATCCGCCTGGGCGAAAAAGGGGAAGGACGACACATGGTAGTCCGGTTCCTGGTAGTAGAAGAACTCTCGGCCTACAACATGATTCTGGGACGACCAACCCTGAATAATTCCAAGGCTGTTATAATCCCATCTCTTATGTTGCTCAAGTTTGAGAGGGATAATGGAACAGTCGGGTCCCTAAGGGGAGATCAGAAGATGGCCCGAGAGTGCTATCTCTCGGATGTCAAGCCCACTGTTATGGCCACTGGGTCGAGCGGTGGAAAAATAGACCTTGACAATGTCAAAGGAGAGTGCGCCTGTTCAAGAAGCAGGCGGCAAGAAGAGAAAGACATCCCAGACAGGGGCCGCAAGAAAAGACAGAAAATAGCAATCATTGGCAGAGGAGCGGTCGGATAAATTCCGCCCTCAGCCAGCTGGTGAGCATACGGACCTGATCTTAGATGACTCGCGTCCTGACAGAACTATCAAGGTTGGGACGACTGCTCTAAGGGACCTGGGTGACGACTTGCACAAACTATTGAAAGAATACAAGGACATCTTTGCATTCGAAGTCCATGAAATGCCAGACATTAGTCCTGATCTGGCGGTACATAAACTGGCCGTGGATCCGAAAAAGAAGCCGGTACGGCAGAAGAAGCGGAACCATGGCGAAGAAAGAAGTCAGGCGGCAGCCGCCGAAGTTAAAAAATTACTTGATGCAGGGTTCATTCGGCAATGTTACTTCCCAGAATGGGTTGCAAATGTGGTGCTTGTTAAAAAGCCGAATGGCACCTGGCGAATGTGTGTAGACTACACAGACTTAAACAAGTCGTGCCCCAAAGACAGTTACCCTCTCAACAGCCGGCCATGCTTTGATGAGCTTTATGGACGCCTACTCTGGTTTCCATCAAATTCCTTTATGGAAGAAAGATCAGGAGAAGACGGCCTTCGTCACTGATCAGGGGTTATACAGTTACACGGTCATGCCGTTTGGTCTTAAGAATGCCCCGGCCACTTTCCAGCGAATGATAAACACTGTGTTCTTTGATCAGATTGGGAGAAATGTCGAGGCATATATTGATGATATGATTGTCAAGTCTAAACTTCAGAAAGATCATCTGTCGGACCTCCGAGAAACTTTCGCCACACTCAGGCGGCACCATGTCATGCTCAATCCCAAGAAATGTTTCTTTGGAGTTGGGTCTGGGAAATTTCTCGGATTCCTTATCAATCAGAGAGGAATAAAGGCGAACCCTGAGAAGGTGCAGACGGTCATCGACATGCAGTCGCCTCGTACCATCCGAGAGGTTCAGAAGTTAACAGGTTGTCTTGCGGCCTTGGGAAGATTTCTAAGCCGATCAGGCGACAAATGCCTATACTTTTTCCAGGCAATTAAGAAAAAGGCAAGGTTTGAATGGGGGCCGGATGCTGAGGCGGCCTTCCAGAAGTTGAAAGTTCACTTGCATTCCTTGCCGAGGCTGGTCAGCCCTTTGCCCAAAGAAGTACTCTACATGTACCTGGCCGTCTCTGATCATGCGTTAAGCGCTGTTCTCCTTGCTGAAAGAGACGGCTGTCAGCTCCCGGTCTACTTTGTCAGTCACGTACTGAAAAATGCCGAGTTGAGGTATCCCTTAGTGGAGAAATTTGGTCTTGCACTCTTCATGGCTGTTAAAAAATTGAAGCCCTACTTTTTGGCACATGCAGTCGTCGTGTATACAGACCAACCTATCAAGCGGCCACTGACCATCATGGAGTCGTCAGGCCGAATGATCAAATGGGCCATAGAAATACAGAGCCTCGAAGTTACCTTCGAGCCTAGAAAAGCAGTGAAGGGGCAAGCCTTTGCTGACTTTATTGTTGAGATGACTCGTCCTCCTGACTCTCAAGTTCCAGACCAAGTCTGGAAGGTATATGTGGATGGAAGCTCTACTTCAAATGGTTGTGGAGCAGGCGTCATATGTCAGTCGCCAGAGGGCGACAGGTACGAGTATGCTCTACGCTTCAGTTTTCAGG